CTTTACGCAGTTAACACTTTGGGATTTGTAGCTTACAAATAAAATATGTTCTACACAGTTGGGTAGCTGGAAGTAGTTATAGTGCTCGACTGGTACTTAATACTAACTTACTACTACTTATGGTACTTAATACTTAATACTTGTAATAATACTGGTACTAAATACTCCTAGTTGCGCACCGTGTTATATATAATATTTTCTTGCTATCTGCTACATCAAAGAGTTATTTTTGCTTGTCGGTTGAGTGTGATGTTAATTTTGGTTCTTGCAAATAATGAAATTGTATTATTTACTCATCCTTATAATATGCTGAGCTACTAATATGTTACTTCGTGTGATAACGTTTTTGTCGCTTATATTTTGATGTTTTTCAGGCTAAAATAACTTTTTTTAATCTTATTTTAGTAAAGAATTAACGCTAGGTTTAACAATATTTTCCTAGAGATAAATATAACAGAATTTATTAAATGTTATTTTACAATCTGTTACTACGTATACTAGAGTTATTAAAATTGATCCCATGTAAGCACAGACAAGGGAATAAATATTTATTCTCTTTTCTGTGTTGTTAATACAATTTTACTATCATTTTTCTTTTTAAATAACTTACTTTTCATTTACTGTACAATATTGAACTAAATCATTGCTTAACGTATTATAATCTATCAAGGTCGGTCTGGTAATCGTCTTCCACTCTAGGCTTATCACGTTCTTGTATCTCTCAGTGAAGACATTTTGCAGTCAAATGAATGGAAGGTGGTGGATATCCTCCAATAGGATTTCTCGTAAACATGGCGTGATACTTTCTCTTTCGCCACTTCAGGTCTGTTTACTGTAAACATGCCAAGTCCTGCAGTAAATCTGCTTTGGTTCTGTTGGCCAAATCCACGCAATAGGCCTACACCAATCCAATTTTATATCATACCGACCAAGATTAGTTAATATTGTCCTCGTGACGATTGTGTCTCTTAAAAAAAAAAGACTACTGATGATCCGAAGACAGCGAATTATCATAAGCATTGAATATTTTACTAACACTGCTATGATCATAATCAATGGCACAAGTCACATGGTCTAATCAATAGTGACCAATATGATAGGACAGTTCAGGCACCGGTTTTAAATCAGCTGTGTCTGGCTTATCAGATTAAACAAAGCTACCATCAAACCACCCGGTTCTGGGTTCAAATCTCGCCAATCGCCTAGCTTTTAGTTTTGTCTTAATACCGTGACCCTAAAGGCCGCTTCGGGCTAGAGCCTACTAGTCCTTGGATAAAAAAATACTGAACTACATATCTGGATATTGTGTCCTATTTTCCCTTTTTTACGAGTTTGTTAGATTTTCTTTTTTGTTATCAGTTTCTATTGTGGACCTTGTGTTACACCTAATTAGTTTTTATGAGTTGCATGAACCTTTACAACTGGAAGTTGTGTGGCTTTTGAATAGACTTATCTCAATTTGGAAATACATTTTACTTGGTATTATTATGTAACCTGGTAAAGTGTGGGGAAAACATGTTAATGTGGTGGAGTTTCAATATACTATTTGTAATCAACACAAACAATTAATTGTCATTAGAATATCATTCCGTGTGACAGAACTAACTAGCCAGCCTTTTGTTGATTTATGCTTACAGTAAGTCGTACATAGTATTTTTTTTTCAAATCAAGTTTAATGCAATCAATTTTGTCAATTGAATTTATTGAATGCATAAACACAAAGCTTATACACACATCTGCCAGTAGGAGAATGACATCTGGTGTAGTGGCATTTGGTTGTTGACACCTTGCCTGTGCTTTACATATTGTACTCATGTACGAGAGAATTAGCATACTCAACTACCTGACTCAAGTACACTTAACCTTTAACTAAGTCTGTTTTCACCATTTTAGTCAAATTTTATGTCCTCGCTTGCGCTAAGTTTTCTAGAGAAAGCTAGTGTCATGGATAGTAGTTAGGATTTTTCAGTGATATAAAAAAAACTTAGAAAAAACGTTTTCTAACAAATTATTCAGAATTTTGCAGAGATTGCAGACGAAGATGATGACGTTTTCGTGACCGTGGGAGACGATGATGTTGACCACACGACCCCGGGAGATATTTAGTATTTTGCCACGATTTTTCAAGACGTTGATAATGTTTCTATGGCCGATTGAGATATTCAGGATTTTGTCGCTGTCACTGGAGACAATGATTGTGTTTCTGTCACTCCATAAAGCTGTACCTAAAGTAAATGTTTGTCAACCGTTCAACTTATTATGGAAATATATTTGGTAACAACGACTAAAGTAACGACAAAGTGTCCTTAAATGTATGGGAATTGTCCATGAATTTTTTACCCAGAATGTAGTAGACACCCTGATAGCAGACTCATTTTCACATAGCCTATAAAAGTATTACTTACATGAGTATTTTTCCATATTGAGTAAACAATCTTTAAAGAATTGTAGAATATTTAACAATTGAAACTAAATGTTCTGTAAAAAATAATGACATTGGTAGTTGATGGGATTTGAACCATGGACCTCTTGAACCAAACCCCTGCGCTCTACCACTACACTTCAGCTTTCTCCTTCATTTCAGATAAAAACCCTCATCTCTTATCTATGTAGACATTGTAGCTTAAAGTATTGAAACAAATTAAGGAGTTAAATTTGGTAGAGTTTTGAAATTTATGATTGTTGGGAGTTGTATTCAAAATGAATGTTAGATATCGGAACACCAGTCAAGATGTAATGTACATTGTGCGTGCAATGTTAACCTACTGAGGGTTGCATTATTGAGAGCAATTTGTGTAAAGCAGCAGCCTGTTGATTTCTCTGGGGTCCAGGAGATCTTCTTACCCTCTTGGCCCGAAAAGAGGTGACTAACCTTTACTTTAATAGGAGATTGAGCGGTTTAGAGATATTATCATTATAAACGAATACCCCCGCCTCAGCAAACCTGCAGACTAAGCAAATTTCCATTTACCAGTATTGAATTATAAATTGAATCTATTTAAATAACACTATATTTAACAAGTACCTAGGTTTAATGTTCCAGGGATGGTAATAAAGTGAGTTTTTGATTAAAATATTAATAGCGTAATATACAATAAATAAATTTGCCAAGTTTGATAAAAAATATCTATAAACAAGCACACCACTACAGTTTACTTATTCTCCATAAGAATAACATAGAAATTTTAAATTGAATATATTTTTTAATTTTTCCGTAACCAATAATTGTACAAAACACTTAGATATATTAAATGATTTATTTTTTAAGCTCTTCAGAATCATTTAGAGAGAAACTGGAAAAATTTATGTTTTGAGGGCAAAAAATGGAAAATACCTATTTTTCCCCCATGAAATTCCGTTCCCATGGTCCAATCATGCTAGTTCATGAACTCATTCAAATAAACGTAGGTTTACATGTTTGTACCAAATTTCATCAAAATCAGATGATTTTTGCTCGAGTTATCATGCTAATGGACACATATTTAAATTTAGATATGAACGGATGTTGTATTTTACCTCTGGGGACATCAAAACAAAAAAGTTAATCGGTCCCGGGTCTAGGCCTTACCATGAGACCTACGGTAATTCTTATATGGCTTATTCTATATGGGAAATTCACTAAAAGCTCCTTACAATAAAACCTCTATTAAATGTCTCCAAAAAAACAGAAACTTAATATGAATGGACTGATAAACAAAATTCCTTTGGTAAAGACTACACTTTAAAACATACATGTAAATTACACTTAGAATAATTATTTTATTTACATGTATGTTTATATACACACAGACGATTATTTAAAACCTGCGGCGAGGCAAAAGGTACACTAAATATAACGAAATAGGTACCCATTATATAGGTGAAGGATAAGCGAGATTGATGGATTGTAAAAAATCAATCGATGTCCCAAAGTTTCAGATATACATTGATGTCGGTGTAATAGTAGTAATAGTAGTACGTCTAACGACGGTACAAATGTAATTTCCAATATATTCACTAAAAAGTTCCTTATTACAAGTAAATACCAGTTCATAATATGGTTTATTTATATTAAATAGGTTCTTGGATGTGTTTGGTCAAATGTGGAACTACAAGAAAATGTTTGTTTATTTCCAAGACCATTTGAATAAATGTCAAAAGTCTCTCAAGATTGTGAAGGACAACTTACACAGCATGTTTGGTCTTTTCATTTCCATCTCACAAACAGGAACTTAACTGTGTGGGGATGAAAGTTTAGAATTTTGAATAGTTTCTATTGTTCCATACACAATAGCTACCCTCACTGAATACCTAATAGCAGCACTTAGGCACTGACTGTGTTATATGAATGAGCATATTCAACTGTTGTGTAAGACTTAGTAGATCTGGTCTGCGTACAAATAAGGCATTCAAACTTTATGATTTTTTATCCAATTTCCGTACTGTCATAGTCCGTACTGATAGTCTTTACTGTTTTTTTTTTTTTTTTTACTAAGCGTGTGTAAAACATTATGTTAGCACCTTAAATTACCCTGCCTCCCTTTGTTACCGTACAATTTTAACAGATGTTAAATTGATTGGTTGTTTACATTGACCAAAGACCTGTTTCTTAGTTTTAACCTAACCGTATTATGTGATAATATTGACAAATTACCCAAATTCATCAGCTATGGTTTATTTTATTTACAAAGTAAATTAAGTTGTTGGTTTCAGGTTTTACATTTGCTTGGCTGTGTGACTACAGTTTTTTTTTATACAATTTAGGTGAGACAGTTATTATTTTTATATTAAGAGGTTGGCAACCTTTTTTACACTGTCCCATGGGTCTCAAAGGCCTGTGCGTGGAACTTATCAATCAAAGGAAGGAGTCTGTTATACTGTTACAATACAAGAAGAAATTGTAACGATAAATAAGAGCCAGCACTCATGACGCAAACCTTCACGATATTGACTCGCCAAATAATCTGTTTTTCTTTTTTAAATTTATATATCTCTGATTGATTTTTTATTTTATGTTGCAGTGCTTCTCAAAGAACCGATCGAAAACGACGACCTTCAGTTTAAAACACTGAAGATCACCGACTTTGGCCTCGCCAGAGAAGTGTACAAGACCACACGGATGTCAGCTGCCGGGACATACGCTTGGATGGCGCCAGAAGTCATCAAAACTTCCATATTCTCTAAAGCTAGCGATGTTTGGAGGTAGGATTCAATAGTTGAATTGTGTCCTTAAACAATTACGTAGTTTTAGTTAGTCATTAGATTTTGGATAGTTTTGTAGACATCCCATTTGCATTAGAACTAGCCGTAGTCAATTTTTGATCTGCATAAAATTAAATAAGCTAGTCTTAGGCGGGTTACACACCGGTATTGCAGACATAATGTCGCCGATATTTCTGATGTCGCAGGCATGATGTCTGCGACATATAATAAAATACAACCATGGTAAGAGGCACGTGCTGGTGACATGAAAGTGAAGGAATCACAACATTCATCAGTTTAAATAATGTCATCGTCAGAAGAAGATGATGTGTTGTTGCTGTCGTTTTTTTACAAAAACATTTAAAATAACTTCATGGTAATTTTTCCAAAATACGTTGTAATTAATTGTATTACAGTACTTGCGTAATTTCCTTATGGTGTAAATTGAAGTACAGTAGAGAGTCAAAAAACCGAACCAATTGGGACCGTAGGTAGTTCAGATTATCGATTTGTTCAGATTTTCAAACATAGCCTAGAAATGCCTAATAGACACATAACTAGGCCTACAGTATTAGGAATACAGTTCTAGGATACAGTCAATGAAATAAAAATAATGTTTTTTGTACTTAGGTATTTTCGTTTTACTGTATAACTGTAATTAAATATGTAGAGCTTATACATTGGAAACGAACAAAACACAGACTGGCTCAGCGCGTTCACTCATTTCTCTGCCAGGCGCCGACTTTTTGGCCCGCAAAATTGTAAAACATCTGTCGTCTCTGTGCTAATTCAATATTTTAAAACCCTCAGGAGCGGTTCGGATTTTTGACGTTCGGATTTTCGACTCGACACGAGTCGCAGGCAACTTGTCTGTGACATTGGTGTGTATAGCTCCATAAGTTAACATAGGTTGGTTTTCGAGGGGCATGTTGCAGGCACAAAAAATATCTGCAACATCATGTCGGAGATGCCTCAGTGTTAGCTACTGTCAAATATCTTTTTCTTCCTTGATAATAGTACTTAATTATCATAAAGTACAAAATACTAGATCATTGTGTTACAGAACATAGTAAGTTGTATTAAAAGATTAAACCAAGTGAATGCAAACATGGTAAGCTTTTTACTATTTCTATGGTTACTAATACATCGAACCATGTGGAAAAGCCCTAAGGGAGTTTAAGAATCAAACTAAGACCAAACCCTTCAAATCTGAAGGTTGTGCACAGAGAACATCACTTGGATGGATATACATTTTTTGTATATAATATGTATTAATAAATTATCATATGTATATTTTTAGCTCCTCATATCACATTTCCTTGTTTCCTGCTGTTATCCTATAAGGAGGAATGGTTTGACTGACATAACTTTTAAAATAGTCTTGATCAATCAAAAACCATAACTTATCATTCGTCATTTCCCCCAGAATAATGAATTTTTTTTGTGCATTTCTATTTTAAATAACATAACTAAAATTTAGTCCAGGACCTGACTAGGGTTCTGTGTGCATGTCGTGTATAGAGAATTTTGCTTTTGCATTTCAATATAGGTGTCTTAGGAAGTGTTTTCCACTCGGGTGTCAAGTTCGCACCTGGTACGTTTTCGAGCAATGACGTCATCAAAATGGCGGCCATTGATTTTTTTAAATCGTATATTTCGCAAACTATTTGTCGGATCGGAATGAACTTTTTTTTGTTTGAAAGATAATTTTAAATGCTACCTGTTTTACATTTACACATTTGTTGTATGTTTAATACATTCTTCGTAATTTTGCAAAAACCTGTATTTTTAAATATTTTTGTGTTATTTTTGTTTTTAACGTTTTATTGATACAATTTATCAAAAACCACTAATGAAAAAAGTTGTAGAACGTTTAAAAATCTTTACAAAAATACCAAATTCGATATGTTTTACTCAAAAGATTACGTCAAGAAACTAGATAAATCTCATAAAAACACCAATTTTGGCGCAAAAACGCCTATTAGTCCGGCATCTAGGGCAGTTCGCAAGACTTATAAAGACAGTTTTACAATTCAATGTTGATGTATGTGTCTAAATAAGTGTTTTCAACTCGGGTGTCACGTCTGCACCCACTGCAGTTTCTGGTTATGACGTCATTAAAATGGCGGAAAGGGCTATATTAAAAATAACTATATTTTACACACCATGTATCGGATCGGAATGAACTTTTTTTTGTTTGAAAGGTAAGTTTACATGCTATCTTTCTTACATTTACACTTTTGTTGTATGTTTAGTACATTTTTCGTAATTTTGCAAAAACCTATATTTTTAAACATTTTTGTGTTATTTTTGTCGATAACGTTTTATTGATACAATATATCAGAGATAACTTACAGACAAAGTTGTAGCACGTTAAAAGAGCTTTACAAAAATACCAAATTCTATATGCTTTACTCAAAGGATCACGTCAAGAAACTAGAAAATCGTACAAAACAACCTAATTTGGCGCAAAAATAAATATATAAATCCGACATCGATGGCTGTGTACGATTCATATATAGACAGTTTTACCATTCAATGTTGATGTATGTGTCTTAAGAAGTGTTTTTAACTCGGGTGTCACGTCTGGACCCACTTCAGTTTCCGGTTATGATGTCTTTAAAATTGCTACATGTTACGATTTCACCAACTATTTTACTTAAAATAAGACCATTACCCTCTTTTATGCAAATAAAAGCACAACAAATCAATGTAATTAGTCCATAGGAATGTTTCCACTATATAAATACCCCAGGTGCAGCAATCCTGTCGACTAAGCGAATTTCCATTTGCCTGGATTGATTTTCAATTAATCTATTAAATTAACATTGTTTAAGAGTACCTCAAAAATCAATCCAGGCAAATGGAAATTCGCTTAGTCGACAGGATTGCTGCACCCGGGGTATTTATATAGTGGAAACATTCCTATGGACTAATTACATTGATTTGTTGTGCTTTTATTTGCATAAAAGAGGGTAATGGTCTTATTTTAAGTAAAATAGTTGGTGAAATCATAACATGTAGCAATTTTAAAGACATCATAACTGGAAACTGCAGTGGGTCCAGACGTGACACCCGAGTTAAAAACACTTCTTTAGACACATACATCAACATTGAATGGTAAAACTGTCTATATATGAATCGTACACAGCCATCGATGTCGGATTTATATATTTATTTTTGCGCCAAATTAGGTTGTTTTGTACGATTTTCTAGTTTCTTGACGTGATCCTTTGAGTAAAGTATATCGAATTTGGTATTTTTGTAAAGCTCTTTTAACGTGCTACAACTTTGTCCTTAAGTTATTTCTGATATATTGTATCAATAAAACGTTATCGACAAAAATAACACAAATATGTTTAAAAATATAGGTTTTTGCAAAATTACGAAAAATGTACTAAACATACAACAAAAGTGTAAATGCAAGAAAGATAGCATGTAAACTTATCTTTCAAACAAAAAAAAGTTCATTCCGATCCGATACATGGTGTGTAAAATATAGTTATTTTTAATATAGCCCTTTCCGCCATTTTAATGACGTCATAACCGGAAACTGCAGTGGGTGCAGACGTGACACCCGAGTTGAAAACACTTATTTAGACACATACATCAACATTGAATTGTAAAACTGTCTTTATAAGACTTGCGAACTGCCCTAGATGCCGGACTAATAGGCGTTTTTGCGCCAAAATTGGTGTTTTTATGAGATTTATCTAGTTTCTTGACGTAATCTTTTGAGTAAAACATATCGAATTTGGTATTTTTGTAAAGATTTTTAAACGTTCTACAACTTTTTTCATTAGTGGTTTTTGATAAATTGTATCAATAAAACATTAAAAACAAAAATAACACAAAAATATTTAAAAATACAGGTTTTTGCAAAATTACGAAGAATGTATTAAACATACAACAAATGTGTAAATGTAAAACAGGTAGCATTTAAAATTATCTTTCAAACAAAAAAAAGTTCATTCCGATCCGACAAATAGTTTGCGAAATATACGATTTAAAAAAATCAATGGCCGCCATTTCGATGACGTCATAGCTCGAAAACGTACCAGGTGCGAACTTGACACCCGAGTGGAAAACACTTCCTAAGGCACCTATATTGAAATGCAAAAGCAAAATTCTCTATACACGACATGCACACAGAACCCTAGTCAGGTCCTGGACTAATTATACTAATAACATTGTTGCTTCACTTGCTTTGTCTGCAAATGAAGCAAGCAGACGAGGTGCTTGGGTGAAGGATAACAATTAAGTTGGGTATGAACAAAGCCTCGTTTGCAGTTTATGGCAGAATCCCTTACAATGTGTATTCTATTTGCTGTTTGACATTGCTTATAATTTGACTACTACTTCCTAGTCACAATACTGTGTAAATAGTGTGATCACTCGTTAAACTGAATCCAGTCAATAATCTGTTTAATTCAAACTGCCATTTGACAATATGTAAAAATATCACTCAGCTAAGTTAAAAAAATATGCCACAGTTTATTGAAAACTTTGCAGTATTTGAATAGTTAAAAATATTAAAACTGCCTATTCTGTATATTAAAACAAACATGTTTCTGTCATCAAATTTACTTAATGTTCTAGTAATAAGTACAAATTGTAAACAAATACTTGTTAAAAAAGTTATTATTTTTTGTTCACGGTGTCTTATAACATAAGATGTTACAACTAGTGTTTAATTTTACGATTCTACAATGGTGCTTGGCAAACTCATGTTTGAAAAGCATAGAACATTGTCTGTTCAAGTTTGTTTTTAATGTGAAATTCATTAGAGGCTGACAGTACCTGTACTTTAAGACTGAAATTTAACAATGTTTTGTATGATTCACAGCTACGGAGTCCTGTTATGGGAGTTGTTGACGGGAGAGACGCCATACAAGGGTATAGACGCTCTGGCCATAGCTTATGGGGTGGCTGTCAACAAACTGACTCTGCCGATACCCAGCACTTGTCCTGAGCAGTGGCGACAACTGATGGAGGGTAAATACCTACCATCATTATCATTACACTATTTATATCATTACACTTACTACACTTACTAGTCCTGAAAATAGGTGTTTGGCGGACAAGTGTGGTTGATCCCGTACGAGACGAAGTCGAGTCGAGACGAAGTCGCACAATATTCTATGCCATAATACTTAACAATAAAAATTCTCTACAAACTCATATATTACCACCGATTAAAGGACTAACAATCACTACTCATAACTGAGTGGTAATGTTTTTGTTTATTACAACTCATTGCCAAATTAATCAGCTGGTTGGTGTTCGGTAAAAACTCATTACAGTTACAGTAGTACGTAATGAAACGTCATTTGATTAAGCTGGCGGCAAACATCTGTTTTCTAGACTAAATCCTTGCATGGGATGTTCGTTAAAACGGTGTAGTGTGGTGTAAACATATTTCTAATTTAAATATTTTATTGTTTTATTTATCATTAGTTGATGATTCAGAGTGTTGAACTCTTTACTGTATCGGCACAATGCAACATTTTTATAACAACCCTTGTACTAATCATCCATTCATAAAATAAAAGATGAGTTTATATTTTAACCAAAATATGGAAATTGCTTCGGGAAATAATGGTTTGATTTCAAAATTCGGACCTTTTCCTTTAATTCACTACCACTAATTAGTATACAAGGTTAGGTTAGCTTAGGTTAGGACTAAGTTAACACTATTTACGCGAGTTACCTACACTACTTTACTTACGACCGGTTTTGTAATTACTATTAATCAATCAAAACTTCTAAGAGAGGTTCTGTTTTCGTTTATAGCTCATTACCACCTGATATTGATGCAAAGACTCATTGTATCAATCTTTGCACCAATCGTTAAAAATTAAATTGGTAAACAGCTGATTAGCTTTGAACTTCAATTTTACTTCTTCTCTCTCAATCCTTGAACTTCATTGGTAAGTTACCCGTGTTGTTAAGTAAAACTATGCTGTTATGTAAGTAAACAGTGCTGTTATGTAAAACTTTTCAATTCTAAGAACTGTGAACTGAAATGGCTACTTTAAAAAAAACTGCCGTAGGTAAAAGACTATTATGTAATCATTCAATTATGCAAGAACGTTAGAGTAACACATTTACTTTTAGTTTTATCATCCTTACAGAGCAGGTGAAGATTATTTTAGTTACCGTAGTTGCATCCAGTGTCCAGTGTATGTGAAGGCAGTATGTTGTTCTATTCTATTATTATTTTTATTTTACTTCAATACTGTTTTGACATAATAAAACAATCAAACTGTTAACAGTAGCTTGTTCTCTAGTATTATAACTATTATAACAGTAATATTGATTTCATTTGATTCGATTTAATTTTGTTGCAGTTGAAATAATGGAATAATGGAAAAAATAAATTTGGTAGGACCACGAAGGGTTTTACTTAAGAAAATGTAAAATAATGTTGCTTTTGAAATGTGTGTATATTGATTGGTAAGGCCACAAACAAAAGAGTACTTAAGATGTTAGATTGCCCACATAAAACCACAAGAGTGGAGTAACAGCATTGCCTCTGCGTTTTATCAAAGTTTTCTTAAAATGTATCTTTGCTTTTGTCGTGTTCTTCTTGCTACTGCATTAAAACATAAATTGTGTCAATTAAATGTATGAAAATTTATGAAAGGAAATAGTGTCTTTTCTTTATTTGTATGGTGTTTTAAGATGGATTTTTTTATGAAATAATGTGCATTTTTGAGCTCAAATCTCCAAAGTTATTATTGACCTTTTGTTCAAAAATCTAGTTATTCTTTTATCTTGGGCTTTAAAATACTGGAGATTTCTATTTGACACAATCAATTGTTTGGAAGGATGAAAATATTTAATGATCCAGGAACTTCAATTAGGCTACAGATACTTTTCACGGGAAAGCCTCTTCTTATGGGCCAACTGTATCCTTCGTAATTCAAAACTTGTTATTATGAAGTTACTTTGTATTATTTTTTTAAGACATGCTTCTAAGTGAGGTATGGCTAAATTTGTTTTGCTCCACTTATCTTTGTTATGTGTTCAATGGAACACCAACACTCCACTGTTATTTAAAACACAATTTGACATTTTTCATACCCTAAATCATCCACACTGGTTTGACAAGACTCATTTTTGTCTGCAAATGAACGATCAGCCATGAGTTGTACCCAGAAAATGCACTCATCTTAGATTGTAATCAAAGTTGTATTTTGTAAGTAAATTGTTGTTTTTTCTACAGATTGTTGGGAATCAGACCCTCACCTCAGACCAGGGTTTGAGGAGATCCTACTGTCGTTGGACGCCATCGTCCACTCGGCCTTCACACAAACTCCTCACGAGAGCTTCCACACGATGCAGGACGGTTGGCGCATCGAGATAGAGGAGGTCCTCAACGGGCTACGCATGAAAGAGAAGGTCAGTCTACTTTATTAAATTGGAATTATTTAGCCCTAATATTCTTACACAGTACACAGAGAAGTAAGATACAGAGGAAACATTCAATGGTACACTTAAGTCTTTAGCACCGGTTGCTTGCGTCTAGTTCAAATTCTATTGGTCGTCCCCTCCCCCCTCACCAAGACGTACTACTGTATAGCGCTCACGCTGTAGGCAGAGCCCGTGCAGTACAACTGCTGTTTAAACAATAGCTGTTCGGTTTTTTCCTGGCTCGGTACTAGCAGAGGTGCCCATCCCCCCCAAACCCAGAGGCGCAATCCCCCCCCCCAAGCCAAAGGAGTAGTCCCCCCCCCCAATTTATGCTGCCGTCTATTTAAACCCAAAACTACCCTCCCACCACCAATTTATATGACAATTTCCCCTTTACCTCATAAAACGAGCATATCAAGTATTCAGTAAACTTGATGTACGAAAAACAAACTTGCTGATAATAAAAATTAAATGTTTATAGGAAACATCATTATATCTAACTAATAGAGACGGATTAGAAGTTTTTCAATTTACAATTCAGAATCTGTATTGTCAGCCAACATGTGCTCAGTATTGCAATAGACAACGTCTTCAAAATGTACAAAAATATACTCTGTGAATTACTCTACTCCAACACAGTACTGTAATAGTACAATATATTAGGTGGCGTTAATGCAAAATTCAAACCGCTTTAAGTGCATTAATACTTTTGGAAAAAGTATCTTGTTTCAAAATTATAGGCAGAGTCACGAAATAAGACAGACTTGTTGCTCGCCACTCCCAGGCTGCCTTCTACAAAAATCGCCGGGCAAAATACCCACAATACCTTAATTGCCACCAGTACAAAAGGTTTTTGTGACGAAGTAATCTTATAATTTATTTTGATAGCCCCGGGATTGCCTTTTATGACTAATAATGGAAGAAACACATCTTGTCAGACAATCCATTTGTACAAAAAACACGAAACTATAACAGATAGGCCTATCAATTCACGCTTGTATATTGCTGCGGAGAGGACTGGAAGTAAACTGAATCAGGTTATAACAGGACGTGGTCTCTATTGTCGTCTGTGTTATCAAAAGCTGATATTGGACTAATTGTAGTGACGGAGGAGAGTGTTGAAAATATAATGGGATTCATAGTTGAGTTTTCCATTCAAAATTATTGACAATAATAACCAATTTATTTGCTGGATATATGATGATCTCGAAATTCTACAGTACTGCGCGAAAGGAAATTTATTAAATACTTTTTTTTGAGTGAAAACACTCAATTTATTTATTATGTATTTTCAACACTCTTCTCAGTCACTACAATGTCAATACGTAGTCCAATATCAGCTGTTCAAAACGCAGACGACAATCCAGAGACCACGTCGGTCCGTCACAACCTGAACCTGATTCAGTTTACTTCCAGTCCTACCGACGGCCGACGGCAATGTACACGCGTGAATTGATAGGCTTATCTGTAATCGTTTTGTGTTTTGTGTTAAATGTTTGTAACGTATTCTGACGACTCCTCCAGAAGTCGATCTTTTGTAAATCCTGACAATGGTGGAGTTAAAAAAACCACAAAAACATAGGGCCTATGTAGCAAGTAAAATTCTACACTGGCATGTTAAGGATTGTCTGACAAGGTGTGTTTTTACCATTCTTAGAAGCAATCTTAATTACGAACGGTAAAATGTTGTTGGTGTTGATAGTGAGCAACTAAGAAACACTTCTTGTATAAGTTTATACAAAATTATACATTCATTATGACATCTAGCAAAAAAATATCCCCCCCAAAATCTCCTAAAAAAAATTCCCCCCCAAAAATTCCTTTGGCGCAAACGCGCCACAGTATCCCCCCTCTGGGCACCCCTGGGTACTAGTATATTTCTGCCCCACCATTCCCGAGCTAAAAGCGAACGCTTGTTCCATAAGCATGTTTCCTCTGTATCTTACTTCTCTGTGTACAGTACAATGACATTGTTAGATGCAGTAGACTCCGTTGTTTGAATACATTTGATTTGTGCGGCCTTCAGAGTAAGACCTTTGACAATTCATAGAGCTAGACATTTTATGTTAAAGATATCGCCAAGAATGTACAGTAGTTGAATTGTGCACTGATGTAAATGTTTGTCAGATACACCAACTTTTTAACCAATTCAAACTGGTAAAATCTATTTCGGTTTGGAACGTATTTGTTAGTTTACATATTAACTTATGGTTTGGTCTTTTTTAAAGAGGGAGTCTACTGCAGCAATGAATTCAAATAATCTTGTAATCCATTTGTAATAATAAATTTTTCTTTGAAACAGAAATATGCAAAGACTAAAATAATAATTAGCCTGATAGTCATAATATCAACCTAAACAGCGGTTTAAAGTATTTTCTCTTCTTTGAAATTTTGCCAGGGTTAAGGAGTTAAATTGTGTAGGTTTCTACAGAAATGTATGTAAAAAATTAATTGAAATGAGATTGTTTTGCAGTTCTTCTTGTTTGTTATTTTTGTAGGAAAGAGCACAATAGTGTCTAATCTTAATTAAAACCTATACCTGAAAATTTTTATATATCTTGTTTATTAGAAACAGGTATGTTTGTGTTTTAATAATAGAACCTATAACTGAAAATTGGTAAATTTGACTTCTAACATAATAATTAATTTGAGAAGTAAATTAAAAGTGTTCTTTAGCTTGAATGTCACTCTTTTAAAAATGGCGTAAACATCTGTTTTCCTTTAGAATGCACTAAGGATTAGTATTGGCCTATTTGGAAAAAATTATTCTGGAAAAATACATATAACTAGTTAGTAAAGTAAATCTGAGAATATCCTTAAACAGGTATTCATTCAGAGGCTACAACAACACCACTGTTTTAGTAGGCTAATGGTTGTGACATTTAGTAAGGTTAAAATGGACATCAGTGCAATTGCAATAGATCCATTTGCTTATTTGTGTGATGAAAGCTATTTATACTCAATTCTCTTTGTCCATCACATCTTCATTATATTGTTCCTAATATGATTCTTGTTTGACGCTTACAAAGGCTTTTCGCTCAAAGGAAGAGGTGAGCTTACGATTTCTGCAGTTTTGTTTCACTATTTTTATTCACCCACATTTGTGTTATTTTGTTTTTTTGTGTGGTGTTTTTGCCCTAGATAAATTGTTTGTAAAGTTTTGCTCTGAATTTTACTGCAAATATTGTGTTATGTGATGTGATCAAATTTTTTTATGATTTTAAATGTGTGCATGATTGATTGTTGATTGTGTTGTTGTAATGGCTTAGGTTGTACTTAGTTTTTCTGTTGGGCATTGGATTGATGTAATGTGGTTCCTGCAATCTTGCATTTTAATTATCTGTTAGAAAATGTTACTAGGCTCTTATTATTTCTCGCTCTTTTTAAAAACCTTTACACCTATAATTTTGATAAAAGAGGTTTTGTGCTAGCTGCTTTATAATTGTATCTCAGCTTTACTGATATAGGCTATGGTTTCTTTGTTATCTCCTTGGTTTTAGTGTTTAAGCTATATTCACAGATTAATCACCAGTGTTCCTCTGTTACAAGACCGTTTCTCAAATTGGTTGAGGCAACTTTTAACAGTAAAAAGCTTAGGGTTGTTAAAACTAAAAGTTTTGAAACACAAAGTGTACAAAGCAATTTTTAGAGACTCAAATTTAAATAAAGATCAGCCATCTTTTAATTTCATTTCTTGTATCTCCTTTCCAAAATTCTGCTAGTCTTTTATTGAAAGCAAAATTGAATAAAATGACCAACTTTTGAATCATTTTTAGACATTGTTTTTGCATACCCAATAATTTAACATCCTGTTAATGTTGATGCTACAAACAAAGTCAAACCACAATTATTATCAGTTGTAGGGTAATTTTCCAGTGGTTGCCCTATCGTAGATAAAACATGCTTTAGATTCAGATTTTGCACATCTCACCTTCATCTTAACCTTTGCTGGGTTTGTTATTGTTAAACTTGCTCAAGTAGTTGTTCACCTAATTACCGATGAAGGTCAGATTCAAATGGCACCTCACACATATGTTGTGACCTTTTGTAGACATTCGACATTTGTAGACTTTGAAACCTTCACCTTCACTAACTAGTTTAATGTTGCAAGTAATTAATGTTTTCGTTTTGTTTTAAATTTTTAAAGTATGGTGTTAGTTTTGGGTTTTTTCTTTTAACCTTTAATGGTAACAAACAAATTTTTTAACTCCTAGTTGGTTATAATTTTGGTTTTTGTAGACTAAAACATATTTAATGGCCACTACACTGTCATCATTTGTATCTTAGATGGTGGTATTTAGTGTGAAGAAAAATGCATTATTTTTGTTGGCTTTTAGTTTATGTGAGGGGCTGAGGGGTGTGCATTTGATGCAGGGAGATAGGGAAGACACCAGCTGATGAACACTATTTGCCCACGACGTTTGTATCTTGTCACATTATTGAAATTCTAGGTGGCATTTATAATTTCCAGTCATCTTGACCTGACCCTACTTAATGAATGTATTTTGTCAGGATATGTAAGGCAACACAGTTCAACCTGCATAGTTTAGCCCCTAAGCTGTGGATAATGTAATACTCGCAATACTGTCAAGTCAAGTTCTAAATAATTTACATGAGGATTTTACACAATAATGTGTGAATGAATATTGAAGTCCTTGGCTGGGCTGTGCTTTGATGGAGCTAACAATTTCCTCATTGTGCCATAACATTCTATAACCTCTGTATATTAATTATTTAGACCTGATCGATAGTTTGGTGTTTAATATATCTGATATAGTTTAATTTCATATCAAATGTAAGGGTTGATCCAACTTAAAAGTATCAGCATATATTTTATATGAAACTATGATAACCTTAACTAATAAGCTGTTAAAATTAAGGAGAGTTTGCAGGGGGGGGTGTTGGTAATGAGGGGGTTTTGTTTCCCTGGCAAAGCTGGCACGGCATGGACAGAGCAACAGATACCGTAAACTTAGTGGGGTCCACATAATCTTAAAGTTGAATTAACCCAATGAGATATTCTACTAAAGACAGTTTTTCTCTCAGGAATTGCGATGCAGAGAAGAGGAGTTGACGAGGGCTCAGTTGGAACAGAAGATGGTTGAGCAGAAGTTACAACAGCGAGAGGCGGAGTTGGCTCGACGAGAGATCGATCTGCTACAGAGAGAACTACACATCATCATCACACAACAGACACCTACGCCCAAGAAGAGAAGAGGGAAACTGAAACAACCCAAGCCGCAGATCAGCTTCCCTAGTGGTGAGTGTTTGTTTATGCCTGTGTTCTCCTATTTTCAATGGAAGAAGCTCAAGAGCAACCTTTTAAAAGAAATCAGTTCAAAAACTTACATTTTTGCTGGAGTTTTTTTCCGCGGAAAGATTCCAAAGATTTTTGTTTCTAATTCCGGTTCTAACTCCCCATGAATCGATTCATCGATAAATGAAAACTGACAGGTTATCAGGTCCCGAGTTTGCGAGTCAATACTTTATCCATCTTTAGTGCCCTTGTAAAAGATAAATTAATTAATCAATTATAGATACTTGATCATCCCAGTATTAGCAGTCTTGCTTCTTTTTGTGAGGTTAAATCAAATCAAATTATCTATATTCACTTTATACATTTTATATACATAAATAGTGTTAAAGCATAAAAAATTAGTTATACAATTTAATCTAAAAGACTTAACTACCTATACAGTTTCACAATATTTTTTTTAAATAAATAATAAATGAAGAATGGTTACGAGAAAGTTTACTAGTGTTATATTGTGTCAGATTTTTAGCTAACAATTGTTTGTTTGTCAAAGGAAGGGTGAAAATAGTCAAGAAATAGTTACATATTGAGATGGGCAGAGCTCAAAAGTTGGGAAAACTAATCGATCATTAAAAAAGGTGTAAGCAATGAAATTGTTAATGTTACATGTATACAGGGTGTTTTTTTAAAAACTTGCATCTTTATTTATATAAAAACCGCAATAGATAGAAATATGCAGTTTGCGGGAATCATCTATTGACGTAGGGGGCCCAATTGTTTTGAATTCAACGTTACATTCACACTCCCCCCCTTTCCCTCCCTGCCCCCAACTTAATTTTTTTAAATAGCAAGGTACCCCTTGTGACATATCAAATGAAAGAGCATGAAAAAAGAAAATGTTTGATGAAAAGAAAATGAAAATCGGTTCATAAATTTGCGAGATATTTCCCCCCCCCCTTCCCCGGAACTTAATTTTTTTTAATAGCAAGGTACCCCTTGTGACATATCTAATGAAAGAGCATGAAAAAAGAAAATGTTTGGTGAAATTTATTTTTCATTTGATATGTCACAAGGGCGGGTACCTTGCTATTAAAAAACAAGTTATGGGTAGGGGAAAAGGGGGAGGATTATCTCACAAATTCATTAGCCGATTTTAAATTTTTTTCACCAAAAATTTTCTTTTTTCATGCTCTTTCATTTGATATGTCACAAGGGGTACCTTGCTTTAAAAAAAATTAAGTTCCGGGGGTGGGAGGGGGGTAATATCTCACAAATTTATGAACCGATTTTCAATTTTTTTTCATCAAAAATTTTCTTTTTTCATGCTCTTTTATTTGATATGTCACAAGGGGTACCTTGCTATTTAAAAAAAATAAGTTGGGGGCAGGGGGGGAAAGGGGGGGAATGTGAATGTAAAAACGTTGAATTAAAAAAAATTGTACCCCCTACGTCAATAGATGATTCCCGCCAACTGCATATTTCTATCTATTGCGGTTTTTACATTAATAAAGATGGAAGTTTAAAAAAAAACACCCTGTATACCTAAGTGCTCCATGAGTACATCAAAACAATTTTACTCATTAGATTTATTTTTGTAATATTTATTCATTTTCTTGTGATAAGAACTGTTTGACGCAAATCCACTTTCACTGAAGTATCTAGATAAATATACTTTACACCAAGTACTTGCGTCAAACGCTAGAGAGATTTTCTTCTCAAGTAGTTGGTTAAAATACTCAATACTTGAAACAAGTTTTTGTCTAAAATAATTCAAACCTTGTTGTACAAAACTAGTTTGAAAAGAGGCACTTTTTGAAACGAGAGAAAATGTTGCTCAATAAATTGTTTATCTTAAGTTATGTTTATGTGACAATCCGGCAGTCACAAAAGTTCAAAGGTCAATGTAATACAATGTTTTTAAAGAAACAATCAAAAACATTTTTATATTCAAACAAAATTTGTTAAATGTAAGGTTATTCACAAAAAAACAAATATTGGAAGTAGCATTTCTTTAGTCTTTAGTCACTGTTCCTCTACTTGTAGGCGTTCATGTTGTTTAACTTGTTCACTAATGTAGATAAAAGTGATTTGTTTAGTCTATTTGCAAGTTGTTCGATAAAGAGTTGCAAAAAACTAAAATACTGTTGTTGGTTGCATTTATTTATTATGTTGTTCGGTTGCAGATTTCAGACACACCATCACTGTGCAGCACACACCCAAGTCACACCCGAGTCCCAACTCACCACCCGGTTCACCCAGCATCTCTCGGCTGAGGGCTATAGCTCGTGAGTTTCTACATTCCCTTAGTGTCATCTCTGTAACTCACAAGAAACTCGACTCGGAAGATAGCGACTAAATAAGCAGATAACACAGACTTGGGGAGGTCTTCAATTAGAAGTTTTACCCCTTTACTTAGTAAATTTCAACTGCTAATTTTACTAGTTTTTCTTCAAAAATATGTTTGTCTTTGTAGCATTTTCCCTTATTGGTAAAGAACAATTTAAATATCAACTTCTTCTCAACTGATTAGTAAAGATCTATAATTAATTTATTGAGAGATTGTGGACTAAAATTGTTTTTCAAAGGTAATCTACAAATATTCTATTGTGAGATAGAGCATGTCAAGTTAAAAGTTTTAAGTTGTTCTTGACTTATTTATAGAAACCACTACAGTTGGGGCCACGAAAGTTTGCAGTTCACAAGACAAGGCTAGTGTGACGTTGCCATATCGCCCTTTGATGACACTAATTAAAATACTAAACAATATTTTCAAATCAGCTGGAATTATTAGATTTGGCAACACCGCACTGTCCTCATTGGCTCCTTCGAATTCACGTGGTAAATAGGCTCCTCTCTCAACTGCAAACTTTCGTGGTCCAGACTTTAGGTTCACTTTTTTAAACCCTGTGTTTAAATAATTGTGATTTTTTCCAATTACAATGGTTCTTTTCTCCAAGTCTGTGTGGGTTTTATTATTATTTCATCTAGGTTTTATCAAGCTACAGCGGTTTTCTGAGCTACTTGCTAGTTCTCTTAAAACTTTGAACCACGTTCCTAGATATTTGGAATCAAGCTAACATAACCTATAATCCCAAAAGTATTCTTTAAAACTCCAAAATTAAAACCAGGTAATTAAGTATTGTGCCCATAGTATGAACTATCATTTTGTTTCTTCTTGATAGTCTAAATTCTCACAAGAATATTTGTAAAAGACTCTTTTAATTATGATTATTTGACTGCCCTTAACTGATCCTTCTATTTTGGATAAATTCTAACAAAGTGCAACAGTACCATTTACTGAATTTTTCCCATTTTTCAACAGTTTTTGTATATTTATTGTTTTTAAGGCAGAATGAAACACAGATGGGTTTTGTTTCCAATGTCTTTATATTGACGATAGTTATTTATAGATTGTTCCTAAACCATTTAAAATGAACATTGCTGTAGATAAAGTCAGGAAACCGCTGTCTAGTTTTATATTAAGATACTTCCAAAAGAAAAAAACATCAAATACAGTAGAATCACAGATTTGACTAACTCAAAGAGAATTTTATGTAAAAAAAATGCATTTATCTACTACTAATACATTTATCAGAATGATCAAAACACCTAAATGTTTTATGAAGTCTACTCTTTTAAATAGGCCTCAAATTATGAAAATTTTATGGATTGCATAATCAACCTATAAAGCTCTTTTTCCCAGAACACACTATTTTCTTGTGGTGACTGTTGTGGTTCTACTGAAAATAAATATGCTAAGACTACATAACAGATTATTTTACAAGTAGAACATACAGATATGACATGTTGAAAATGTTTAAATGCTATTTTCTAATGATATTTAGATCTGTAAGAAATCTGATAACCAATATTTATCACATAATATGTTAGCTCAAATTAGTTTTTAGTTTGTTTGAAAACAGGACTGGATTGTTGTGTAACTTCACCAATCATTTACACACCTCAAAAAATGAAGAATACAATTCAGATAAATCATTGTAGTCATCACTTCTAGTCTCACAAATTAAAGTTACCCAGAGATAATTTTACTAAAAAATTTTCCATCGTTTTAAAATTGTTAACTATTTATGCTCAAATCTAATTCTTTACTTCACTGATCTCAACATAATTATGCTTGCATAATTATTATAATTATGTTTGTTGCATCATAAGTGTTTTTCTTTAATTATTCAGTTTTGAACTTTATTTGCCTGTAGCATTTCACTATTTTATGTCGTTGTTTTAGTTTTGGGCATGATTTTCATATTATTTTTAGCATGTCATGTTTGTATTTTTGCATGGTTTTAGTATTTTAGTTAGGCTAAGTATACTAGAGTTTATCATAGTTTTAGTTTGTACATCAAATCTGCAGTGTACCTGTTAACATTTCTCCTATTTTAACCTTAGAATCTCATTGCTTGTTTGAAGACTTTGCAGTTGTTATTTAAATATTTAGATCTTCTTTTGTGTATCAATACACTGCTAGGGTGATTGGAACCATTTTTACAAGGGAATCCGTTGAAATCTGCTTCAAAATAAGTGACAAATAACAAAAATCCATAGTATCCAGCATACCGTCAATTTCTTTTTATCAGAAAACTAAATAAGCTGAAAGTGTTTTATTTGTATTTTATCTAAATACTAAAATGTAATTACTATATTTCTCTTACATTAACATAACATTTTATTAGTTCTCACCTAGACTAAGCGCAATTTAAAATACAAGTTTAAGAAGCAGTGGGATTCTGAAGGCTAATTCATCTTATAATTTTTTACAAGAGTACCATAATATTTCAAACTTGTAATTATAGTTTTCATCATTACAGTACAATACCATTTATTTGTTTATACATCATTACAGTTTTTAGCTAGTTTTAATGTGTTTTATCTTTGTATAAGGGTTTTCAGAGTTGTTTATGGAGATAGTATAGTATAGAGTAACTTTACCACCACTTTTTACAGATTTAGGTATTACAGCTAAATTAGTTATAGGGATTTATTTTACTCAACATTTCATCCGCAACTCCTAAATTGTTTCCTCTTACACCTTTTCATACTTTATAGCAATCATTAAGTATCAATTGTACGTTTGTTTTTCCACCTTTTAACCATTTATAATTGTAATAACATTGTTAGATATTTAAAGTAGTCCTCAATAAATTTGATTTCTACTTGATCAAAAAACAACAAAATAAACCGTTTCTGATATGTCAAATGAAAATATTCGGGATTTGTCCTGTACCCCCCCCCCCCCCCAAAAAAAACGAATGATAAAACTACCATTTTGACCTATTTATTGAATATCAAATATTCCAAGTAAATGTCTTAAATATTCTAAATATAATACACTGTTTCCAGGTGTAACCAATATACCATTTTTGATGTCCCATATGGGAAAAATATATCGTTCTTTTATCTCCCAAATGTACTGTTTACCAGTGTCCCGAATATTTCAACTAGTCTATACCAAATAAACGTATTACCAATGTCCTAAAAATTCCAAGTAAAGGATGTTTTTCCTTATACCAATATTTCCAATGTCCCAATCATTCAAACGTTCCTTTTCCTGATGTCCCAAAAATTCCAAGTGGACTGTTTTCTAATGTTCCTATTATTCCAAAAATACCGTTTTCTGATGTTCCACCCTGTTGCGGATGGATGTAGTAGTGGTAGTGGTAGACTACAGTAGTGTGGCGCTGTCTAGTGCCGGCTGACGGAGTGAAAGGCAAGACGTGGGGTCCTAGCACGTGTCACCAGCGGGAGAGGGGCCAGATAATGACCAGACCCAAGCGCTGGAGCAAAAGTGCGCCTAACTTGGAGAAGCCTTCACGCCCCCGTGCTCTGTTAGGTGAGCGAAGCTCCATGGTGCAAAGGTGGCGGGCTTTCTGCTCTAATACTAACCGAGTTGCTCACAGTAGTTTCTTTGTCACGCTTCAGAGTGAGGAATAGAGGTTCGTCGAGGTCTATCAATGTTTTTAAAGATTAAAACATGATTTTTACTTATAATGTTACTGGGTAAGCTAGATACATAATCAATTCAATTATAGGTGTGCGATTTTTGAGATTTTTTGAGTAATGAGATTTTGACACGTTTGTCGTATACAAAGGCTCAGCTAAAAAATTCTTCAAGACTCAATTTTTTTTTGTAAAAGCTCGACTCGAGCTAAGTTTGATTGATAATCTCAGGCTTGCACACCTCTAAATCCAATCATGATTCAAGTTTTTTTGTTACATGAAAATTAATTGTCCTACTTTAATGGGCATTTTTTGCCTATAATTCCTCTCAATAGATATAACGTAACTATCAGTTTTCTTTAAAAATTAATATGTTAACGGTGTGGAATTTTATATAATTTGTATTCTCTATTTTTTATACATGATATTAAGTCAGTATTGGGAGTTCATATTGCACCATTTAAAATATTTTTTAAATCGTAAACTGTTGTTCAGATTTTTTTTTAATACTACTCCAAATAGGCCAACAAAATCTTTATACAGTACTACTTTTTTAAACTTTGCTAATGCATAGTGAATTAAACTTATCAAGTTTCCTACGATACATACCTATGAAAAAACTATTGGAGGGTTTTTTTTTATATTCCTGCAGTGCTTGCTTCAATTTTATGAGGTGGTGGGTAATTTAAAATTTTTATTTAAAAATAATTTGATAATTTATAAGTAATGTTATTTTTATGTCCAGATTCACTGTTTGACCTTCGCATGTAGTGGCTAGAAGTTCCAAAGATTACAAAGAGGAAATGGACATTTTAGTTTATAAACTTTATTTTATAAAAAGAGTGCCACACTTTGCTGAACTATTGTAGTGTTTGTGCTTGTATATTATTTTATTACTTGACTTTTCCTTTATTATTGTAACTCACTAATTGCCTTGTTTTGGTGGTGGTATGTAGACAAATAATGTATTATGATATTTTATCGCTAATAAAATTTTACTTTTGAAAATATTCTGTACCACGTTTGTTTTATTTTTTTCACTTTGCACAGCTTTTGTTTGAGTTTGCCGTTTCATTTTTGCATTCTTGTAGTCATATATTGTTTTTATGTGTTTTTGTTTAATTAGTTGCACTGAAACTGAGAAAAGTGTAATAGACAAATTTGGTGTCGTAGAAAAAAAATGTAAATGAGCTCAGATTTATTTTTAAATGGTTATTTTCTTGAAACCTGACAACTGTGCCAAATTTATAATTTCAATGAAACCCATTTTAAGGCTGAACTATTTAGTATTAAAATTGTCATTGACTTCAGTTTTTAATTGTTACAAATAAATGCAAAGAAAACTCAGAAAAAGTAATAATCCAATATGTTGTATTGTATATATATTCATACAGGCTTGATATCACCAGAAAGTGTTGAAACCATGATTGGTGATGGATTTAAGGCAATTTATTTTCAAGTGTATTCGTGTAAAAAATTACTATGGGTATAATAGGGAGTATGATTTATCTATGGTATAATCATGATGAAAAAACACTCACCAAGCTTAAACTTCACTGAAGCTTAATTTAATATTTCATATCAAACATTATTGTACAAGAGATTGTTTGAATATTACAATTTTAGTTTGATTATTTTTATTCAAAAGTTGTAAAATTCTTAAGCACATGAACAATCAGTTCAAATTAAGTCTAACTTGTTCAATATCATAGTAAATACGGTATACTGCACAATGAATATTAACTTTCCTAAGAAATCAAATAATTATGGGATTACTTATGTTATGACAATTTATAAATATGGCTAACAAAATTTATGTTCTCATACAAAATTATGTGAGGTATGTTATTTGTTTGGTTTGGTCACAGCATCATTCGCACAAAAACATAAAGAATTTTTGGTTATTTAACATTATATTTATATAAATAACCAAAAAATCATCAAGAAATGTCAAAAATCACGGCTGAGCTCTTAATTTAGACCCTTGTTTGGGAATTTAAAGGGGGGGGGGTACCTTTCTACGCTGAAACGGTCCAGCCCGCCTTTCCTCCAAAAATTGACAATGCTGCCATTTGGTAAAAAAGTTTGGAGACCACCGAAGGATCACAATACGATCAATTCCAAAGGATTACATTTTATTACATATCTGCTTCAAAATTATCTGAAGAAAGGAACAGAAGAGTAAGTCTTTCCTGAGGAAGAACAATAATAAAAATATTGTGAAGAATATTACGTGACATTATTATTATTATAAATTCATTACTGAAGCCTAAAAAGTTGAATTCATTATCTTTTTATAAAATGGTTTGTCCGTCAATAAATAAATATCCAAATAACTGTAATTGTGATTAAAAACTTAAACTGCTACTAACCATTTTAACCTAACTCAACTAAAAGTAAATTGATGTGGCAAAGGTAAGTTGGAAAACACTTTTTTATCTATGACTATAATTAAAGGGACTTGATCTACTTTGAAAAACAACAGCACAATAAATTTAAGTTCATACTCCAAAGAACATAGTAGATATTAAACTAATTGTTGACACAATTTGAAGGACCTATTAAAAACACTGGGTGGTTCTAAAATATTGAATTTTGAGGTACCACTTTATACACCTAAAAATCCTTCTTTTTTATTGGTTGTTTGAAAAGTTTTCTTTCAACCTCAACTTACAGTAGCCTAATGTGAAACTGTTTTTTTTTCATATATTTTAACTTGGGGTTTTTCAGACATATTGATGACCATATAAGGTTTTAGCTTTTCTTATCTTATCCAACAGGGGCAGGTTAAAACAATTAAGCACTTCATCCGAATAGTCGAACTATTGCGCACAATCAAAGAGGTGGTTCTTATCCGCTGTTTCCTATAACCTACCGCAATACCTACAGACTGGTTCGTCATCATACAAACCCATATGTTGCAAATGTTTCCTGAACCGCCCATGTCCGGTAATCAGTTCTACTATTAGTTTGATTCTTCGCCTAAGCCTCAAAAAGTTTGAGGCAACCCATTTAGAATACCAATGAAGAGTGGGCTTGCTAACTCTTTGAAGACAGTTCAGTTTTTGTTAGAACTGGCCTGTTTAAATGGTTTTTTAAATTTTTCCTTAATATTTTGTTTTTGCCGTACTGTGTTTTCCGACAATATTAACAACTAATCAACTCTACAAGTACAAGCTGACAATGGTGTTTTAATATCAAAACATGTCCTAAATTGACAATAAATGTTATTGAGCTGTGACGGGATTACGTAAGTAATTTAGTCTTACATTATGTCCATCTTTGACATTGATTTGTTTGGGGTTTTCGAGAAGAGATTGACCATTTAAACTGATTTTATTACAAAATGAGGATTGGGTGTCTACAACAATAAAGGAAGATATAATTCAGAATATTACAAAAAGGTACTGGTAGTTTTTATGAATTGTTTAATACTCCTCTGGTTTTTAACAATATTGCGGAGTTCAGGGTTCTGTCCTGCTACTGACTCTGAGCAGACATAAAGTTTCTATATGTCTGCAGTTAAACTTTGTATACAATTTACAAATCTCTGATTACAGACAGTGGTCTTATATGCATCAGAATGACATTCTGAAACCTCAATTTTTTTTACATAGATGAAAAATGTATACTTAGAGTAAAGTGTTTTGAGACAACTGTAATTTTTTTCTTGACTAATATGTTTTGTAGAGCTATTTCCTAAAGTGTGAACATTTTCTTATGAGACACCATGTATTATTTGTAAATTACAATTTACTAGGAAACTGTTTATGCCAACGATCCCCCTTCCAGGGGTAACTTTAGCCATTCATCCCTGTGTGTTCGCAGATTACATGGGAGGCCCCAGTGAAGGTGAATGGGGCTACGACAGTAGTTCACTGGCGTCACTGATCAACGGCCTGGCGGACGTGAGGAATAAAGGTCCAAAACTGTCAGTCGTGGAGATGGTTCTGTACAACATGGCTGCCATGTTGGCTAGCTTTGCTGCGGGGTATGATGTCAGACTCGTGAATACCTTCCCTATACACCCTCGCCTTCAACCTGACAGGTAGAGTGAACGTAAAATCTAAAGTTGGCCAACAATCTAAGTTATATTCTTTTATGATAAAATAATATACTTCTTCACCTTCGTTAAACAAACTTTTGCCAATGAAATCAATAAATTGGTAATGACTAGTTTTGCAACAATCACATCATTGTAAAAGCATGCGCAACATGTCAAAATATCAAAATAAATATATCATCTCACAAGACAAGAACAAAAACAAAACCAACAATCTCATCTTCTACTCATATGCTTATTTTTCCCCTAGTAAATATTGGTGGTGATCATTATTGTTAAATATTATAACTTAACCAAGAAATTAATTTTTCATCATACTGTTCGGAAAATAGCCGTTTTTAGTTCTCAACTTGTTCACAAAATCATTGTTTTCGAGTAACTTTAAATAGGGAACAGATAAAATATATGGTAAATTTTTTGGTTAGCTAACCTCAACATTTGTTTATGGCACATTATAATGATGTTGTTTACTATTTAAAACACATTAAGAAAACACTGCCTATCATACTATATTTTAAGTTACGTTTGTAAACAACAGAAATGTAAACATTGGTTACAACTTTGTACAACCTCAAATTATGTGGTCTAATTCTGTAACGATTAGAAGGTTATTTCTAAAGTATGATGAAAATTGTTGTTCATCCCACGGAGCGAACGTTTCTTTTTGGTTCTTAATCGTAATTCCATGCTTGGCTGCGCCTTGCAAAAAACATGATTGCGTATCAAAAACCTGATTGCTTACCAAAAATAGCCACTTTCGCTCCTAGTGATGAAATATACTGTTACAGCGACATACTTCGAAGCTATGGCCAGACTTATCTTATCCTTTTAAAACTTATTTTTTCTGAATACACATTTTTGTAAGACTCCAATACATCTGAAAAATTAATTTTTCTAAAATCACGATCCTAATCTAAAACGAGTTTCTGTAATTTTAAACTTGTATCCAATTCTTGAAACTAAATGATTTTTTGTCGGGAAAAAATCAATTATTGTTATCAGTTCATATTATATTGCTCTTTATTGTGATGTGAAGGGAGCGAGCTGGTCTAGTGGTTAGAGCGCGGGATTTCGGCGGTCCCTGAGGTCCCACGTTCAAATCCCGCCAAGTCACCAATGGATTTTATCTATCTCATAATGCTGCAACCCCTAGGTCTTGCCTGAAATAATGTGAAAAACAATTCCGGGCTTGTCCCAAGCGTTCTAGGACAAAAAAATGTGATGTGAAGTATTTTTGATTTGCCCAATATTTTATGTTAATGTTTTTTCTGCAGGTTAGAGGAGGAGGCGGAGGAGCGCAGATGGTGGCTGGACTCCAGTGGAAGTCGTAACTCTCACCTCAACCCTGACTATGAGTTCTCTAGTAGTTCTGGTAATAATTACAGCTTGGTTATTTTTTACACTAGAAACAACCAATATGTTCAATGTTCATGTTATTGAAGACATTCTTATTAGTAAAAAACAAAAGATCTCACAACCTTTTTGGAGGTTGTTCTCAGATGAGATAGAACCTAAATCAGCAAGATTAGTACACAGATACTATGTTCAGATTCTAGATACTAAAGTGTCGTGAAAACTTGGTTTTTTACTGTGATTGAACCAAAATCGCCATCACAACTTCAAACAAAAGAGTGTCATGTTTACTACATGAAGCAAAAACATCAATTCCAATCATTACATCATTAATGTTGTGTTTTTCAGTTAGTTTTTAGTTAACTATAGTGAACTACAATGGATGTTGTTGCGCAGGTTACCCCCACAACACGTACCACGGGCCAGCCAAGCACTATCGTCCTCTGCTCAACAACCTTGCCCTGGCGGAGCCTGTAGGTTGGCCGAGTGATTCACCACAACACTCGCAACACTACACGCCATCCCCTCTCAAACAGCTCACCCCTGCACCAGCACCGTCGCCTCGCCGCAAGAGCTCCAGTACTAGTATTGAACCTGCGGAGGTTAGCTGATAGTTGTTTTCTAAGTTTTAAGAATTGTTGTAGGTATTGCACGCTTACCTAGAAAGGAGTCAAACAAAAATTAAATTTTCTTCAATTTTGACATTATTAATCAAAGTTTGAGTTTTAATAAGTCATATTGTTTTAGCCCTGATAGTTTTATATATATTCTTTGAGAAATAAAGTTTATATTGGTACAATGTTTGTGAATGTCAGCAGGTGTCATACCCCCCTCCTCCTGCTCCCAGTGGAGGTATGCTGGAGCTGAGGGTGGGGCCGGACTACTACAATGTCCGAGACTATTACAACCCTCCCAGCGAGTACAGCACTCCCTACGCTGACAGGTAACTGCACAAGTTCCTTACTCCACTTTTCACTTTTTACTTATCTGCCCGTCCTATGATAAATCATTTTTTATATGTGTATATTCATTTTTTTAAGTACCTGAACTATCCTTATACAGTATAGCTCTGGTAATACTGCACATTTAATATTAATATTATAAAACTAGTCTTGGGTTTTTGGGTGTATTTAGCATAAACAGTTACTGTATTCAAATCAAGATTCAATGTGTTCTGAAATATTTATTGACAGCATTCCATTGGTTTCCTTTTAATGCTGTTTTGTAGGAAGAACGTGATTTAGGGAATTGATAATGGGTTTTGCCAAGATTGCAGTTGATAATTATGAATACTTCTTTGATCCTTGTGGTCGCAGTACCAACATTTAGCCATTTACAGTTATAAAATTACTTTCAATGCAGTTTCACAACATTTCTGGCTGACCTGAACAATCAACATAGTTCTAGTCTTTAATGTATCAACTGATTACTAGTGTAACTCTGTTTAGGCTCTACCCAGAGTTCAGCGTGGCCAGTGTAACATCGGTTGGTGACTACGGGCCGTACGCTTACGACAACCCTAGCAGTTCTGTAAGCAGCAGTACGACTGCCAGTGCTAGTGGGAGAGCCAGACATACAGCTCAGTACACACACAGACGCACACCTAGCAATGTCAGCAACACATCTAGTTGCGGAGGCACCAACCCGACCTTCAGTCTGGAGGGAGAGGCTCCTGGTAATCAGTCCATAGATTTACTTTGAATGCTGGTGTAGACCCTTTATTTATACTAGTGTCCCTGTTGCTCGAATTCGAGCAATTGCTAAGTATTACAGGCATTATTTTAAAACGAATAACAGTCATAATTTCTCATGACTTTAAAAGATTCAACTCAATGATTATGGAAATACTCAAGATGTACATAACAGATTATATCAATTTATCCAGGCTCTCTCGCTTTTTCCCATTGTAATATTTACGTTAACTCAAATTCAAATAGTAAATATTTCATTTCAAACAAAAGTAAATGTTTGTAGCAAACTGTTAAATAGCAAACTTATTGACTGTTTACAATTAACATATGTTCTTCTTCTCAATTTTAATTTCTGGAGTTTCATAACAATGTTTGTTTCCCATTTTAATCTTATGGAGGAATACAAAACTTTAAAGGGCCCCAGGGCCTCACTCTCTAATTATTTTCATAAAAAAGAAAGTTTCCTGCACAACTTCACGTTACGCTCTTTCCAATGACACCAAAAACATGTCAATCGGTTCAGTAGTTGCGGAGGAGTAATTGTCACAAAAAAACCTGCTTGCGTATTAAATAAGTACTAGAAGTCGTCCAGTGGTCGAAAACTCAACCAAAAATATGTAAATGAAATTAAATGAAAAAAAATAAAATTATATGAAATGAAAAATTAGATATTTATTCAGGCAAAGTTAGGGCCACATGGCCGTTTCTTACACTATGTAATGTACAGTGTTAACCCCACACTGTAAATAAAACATGTGATAGGAATTTGTTTTGATTTTCTGTTTATATTTTGTTGTTATTTCGTCACCAACATGGCAACCCATAACTCCCATGTTATTTTTTTTTAAGTTTTCAAATTCATTTTTTGTTCTTATTTTTGAGCCTATTTTAATTTATAAAGGGATTCTGCACATCTACAGGAAAATATCTTTCCAACAGTATGCGTAGATTTTCCCTGCGATGCACACGAGCTGAGAAAAAAGGTTTTAAAGAAACATGCATGCCTATTAATAAATAGATATAGATGTTCCAGCTGTAGAAAACTATTTAGTCAAATAGAACATTCAAGGTGGAATGAAGTGCTACTTTTGCTCACTCTGAATCTTGAACAACAAGATTTTTGCCTACCAGTAGAAAAACCAGTATTTATGACCACAGAAACATTACTTTCAGCAACTTTTGTGAACAAGTAGCTGTAATTAATTGTTAGATATGTTTTATCTAAAGATCAAATTTTTTTTTTACATCATTATCAGTGTTTTATGTTAAGACTTCAGTGGAAACAACAGGTTGCTATTTGTAATTTTGCTACTAGACTTCCCTTATTTCATTCATTGGTGATTTCTATTGTGTGTGTGACTTCGAATTAGACCCTTTTACTTCAAACTTTTATGGCTTAAGGGACAGAGTTCACCTTGACACAAGAAACAGTAAACTTAAATATGTGTACAACAATTTAAATATTCCACTATCACTTACATCACTTTTAACCAAGGAAGGAGTGAATTTAAAACCCTCCTCTGTTGAAAATGCTGTCAGTAACATTGGAATATTTAAATGTTTGCATATAGTGTTTATTTGCCACCGTTGACTCTTTACCATTCTAGGCTAGCTTGTTATCCCAGAATGTGCAGTCAATTACTTACTTATCATAGTCATTTGAGTGATTTTCCTCTTGGTGGCATCCCTTAAACTCAATTACTCAAAAATGTGGATGAGAATAAAACTTCAAACTGTTTTTTTTTTCTGGTTAAACATGATGATAACGTTAATTGGTATTGCAGGGGAATACCAGCAGTATTACACGGCCTACGGTTGGTCGAGAACCCCAGCAGTCAAGTCGAGTTCCCGCCAGAACTCTATAGACTCCACAAGTTCCGAGCGTCCCATGACATTGGAAGTCGGAGGGTCTAGACTGCGCTCTAGTCTCAAGAGATACAACTACTCTCGCAACAACACTGGCGGTTCATCCTCCTCTGGACCAGGTAACCCAAAGTTATGGTTTTTTATTTAATTATGTGAGATGTTTGGCGTAATCTAAGTTTGAATGAGAAAGCTTAAAATTCTGTACAATTCTCAATATTTATGATTTTTGAAGAAATACTGTGGTGTCACAGAACTATGGGTATTTCTTGCTTTACAAAAGGAAAATTTACATACATAATTTTTTTACCTAATTGCGGTGTATTGTGGACCGAGGGACAAAGTTGGCAGCTCTTCTGGTGGAATTTGAGTGAAAATCCTGATTTCTAGGAAAGTCCAGGTTATATGTGTACAATGTACATGAGAATTGCATGGATGTAGAGGGCTATAACTGTTAAAAAAGTATTACATTAGGACAATTGAGTTGAAGGATATAAAAAATACAGTACAACTGTCTTTCATAAGGACGATAATCCCGTGGAAGTTCATCTAAACTTGAAAGGTAGTTAATGTTACTATTTTTACAGGTACTCCGACCAACCCTACACCCCCGGATAGCTTGACTAGTGAGGACTCCAGCTATGTGTCTGCTAAGGAGTCATCATCCAACTCCGTCTCTCGTGTGAGGTTCTCACCCATCACTGCTACGAACCTGCTGGACTTGCCCAACCCCGCAGACGTCCCTGCAGGGCTGGTACCCCTGCCTCGCCCTCGGGGACCCTCACGACGACCCTCCGTGTCGGAACTGGAGAGAGACTTTCTATCATAGCATCACAACTGGCGTTAGGTCTGCTGTGCACTTGGAAACTGACAAAATCTTGGGTTATTATAGACATTTTGGAAGACTTTACTTTTACTGGGAAGATTTAGATTTGGAATCACATGGATTTTAGTTTTTGGAAAAAATGCACCAGCTGAAGAATACTAAAGGGAGGATGGAATGGATACACAACTTATTCAACCGAGAAAAGAATTCCAGGCAGTTAACAGCATACAAAAAGTCCATAACACATTGACATTTCACCCCTAAAAGGGGCTTCTTCAGAATAAAGCATAGAAATATTCTACTACTCATTGCTGTTAACTCCCTGGAACACATTTATTGGGTAAGTTAGCAGTGCGTCCATAAATTCTTCTGTTATGTTTTAAGTTTTGTTGGAATTATTTCGAAAAGGGATAGTTTTCCTAGATTGCCTGAGAAAATTGAAGTTCAGTGATAATATATTCAACATTCTTTTAATAGATATAGAAAAGGTTAGACATTTAACACTGATATTTTATCCTGATATAGGACTGCTTCAGAGATCGTGCTGAAGAGAACAATTTTTTCCTTCAACCTACTCTCATTGCTTTTAGCTGAAATTGAACACACAAACTACAAACTGTAGGTGTAAAGGTGCGACTGTATAACTTACTTATACAGTTCTGACAGAAATTAATTTGGGGTTATCTTAGTATATTTTGTATACATAACCAATAACAGATACTGGTTGATCCCATCAGTTTCCAAGTGCAAAGGCCTGAGAATCGCACAGCCACAATACTCTATATCTAGTCGGTTTTAAACAGCTTAGCAACATTGTGTACAGTTATTACTGATAGGGAACTCACAGAATATTATATATTTTTCCATGTTATCCCTTCTATAAGCTTGCCTTGTAAAACACCACGTTTATCATCAAATTTGTGTTTCGCCTCTCCGTTAGTGTAAATAGTTTTCTAATAAAAAATTACAATCGGCTAAAATTTCTTGTGATGAGCTTTTGCTTGGTCTTAAGATTAATTTTTAAATATACTTCCGCAATTTTACATGAGAAAGGCCTAATGGTACATGGTATGCCTAAAATTATTACCTACGAATGAATCATCAGTATCTTTCAAGTTAAGAAAAAGACAGATTATACTACAAGGCTGATTTATAAGTCCTATAGCTTTTGAGTTATTGATTTTATCGTTTTTACAAGATTTTTATTTATTGACAGATTATTTGCATGATAGTTTTTTTTTTATTTTGACTCGGTTATTTTCAGTTTTATGGTATAAGATACTATGTGCAATAATTTATGATTTAATTTTTGTACTTTTTTTACTTGTGCAATATAAAGAGTATTTTAAAGATCGATGTATTAAGTCAGTAAATTATATTAATCAACCCCACAAAGCTCTGAATTAATTGTGATGCAATCATTATGTTCTATTGTTAAGTACCTTTTTATATGGTATAAATATTAAACTCGTTTAAATAACTTAACTAATACTAAAGAAAAAGTTAGACCTAATTCCAAATTTTTAGTTAGTTTTTTTAACCATTAACTTGGGGTGTTTTAATAAAAGACCTCAGTTTAAGATTAGTTATTTAGGTTTGAAAGGAAGATTATTGTAAAATAGTTTACATTCAATATTTTTTTAAGTTAGGGCTGGCACTATTTATAAACTAAACCAAATCTTTGTCTCAATGTACTTGATTTTTAAATGTATAGATACACAATAACATTTTATTGGATGTCATGTAATATGTAATGAAGACATCAGTACATATTAATGAACTCTGGAAGTTTTCATTGATCACTAATATACCGTAATCTTTATAGTAATATAGTTTTTCACTGTGTACATTTTAACATTCAGAATGAAGTATGCATTATTAAAGAAAAAATAATAATTTGAATTAACCCCCTTTTTATTTTTTGTATTTTGAAGCCTCGGACCCTAATCCCTTCCTTTCAAACTTAAACACTTTAATTGTAAGAATTATTTTTGTCAGCCACAAGGCTAATTAATTAAATAAGTAAATCAATTACTCTAAGACTTAAATTTAGTTGTAACAATATTTGGTTGTGTTGGTTAAAATGTTTTTAAGTCATGATGCATTTTGTATTAAATCATAATACTCTTTCGTTTAGTCGAACCTTTAGTGTTATTGTTCCAAAATAGTTTGTTATTTGCAATTGTTTAATTGATGCTTTAATAATATTAATTACAATTCTGATTATGATGAAATTGCCATAATGGTGATACTGTATATTAAAGTTTACAAACAAATTTTGAAACAAATGCATGGACAGGTTCATTATGAAAAACCATATTTTATTGATAAAGGTTTTTTTTGTAGAAATTTTTGTTTTGTTTAGTTTCAAAGGAAACTAATCATTTCAAAGTGATAAGGGGTTTAATTTTAGTATTTGCCAGTTTTAACTTTGTAATTAAAGTATTTCATTTGTTTTATTTCATTTTACCAAACAGTATTTAAATTATATTTGAACACAGAGTCAACTAAAGGGTGAAATTAGTTAAGTTGACATATTTCACCATTACCACTATGATTTTAGAAATTGCTGTGTAATTTAATTGTTAACATTTTATATTTTTATCAGGTCCAACCTGTATTTCAATGAAAGTCAATCATTTTACAGTATTATGTAGGGAGAATGAGAGTGAGAAAGAGAGAAAATTATTAATGTTTTATTTATTCAAAATACATTTTGTATTTTATATTTACATACAGAGATTATTTTATAAGTATTTATATTGTTTATTTAGACTTGTACTCTAATTATTGTAATTGAGATTATAGTTTCAATTGTGAAGTTTTCAAAAAACTTTCTGTAAGCTTTGTTATTTTTGTTTTATTTACCAAATAGGTTTATCAAAGTAATAATACTTTTTTCTACTGCTCATATGTACACATTTTTTTGTGTATAATAAATCCTTGTGTTGTGAATTATATAAAAGTGGCACGAAGTACTTAATATTTATGTTATTTACCACAAAAATAAGTTGACATGAAAAGTAAGTTACTAGCGTAATTCTTTTTTACTTTTTTGTATGACTGTGAGTCGTTTGATGTTAATGTTCACATTTTGCAAAATTAAAAGCATTTGCACATAACTCACTAATATATTTTATTAAGTAGCTATAAGTTTTGTAAGTATGCTTAACTTAATTAACCAGATAAGAAATTACAACAGACGACTGGTTTGACCGTCGGTTGTAAGCAAAGTTTTCAATTGAAATGACAATATAACTTTCCCTCACAAATCGTAAAACATTCCATTTGTTCACATTCCTAAGAGATGTGATACCGTGCCATTCCGTTGCACTTAGGCTCTTTAGGTTGTTGAATCACTACAAGATATCGTACCTAGACTAGCTTTAAATGTGCTCTGTAAATATTAGATACACTTTAAACCTGTATATATTATAAATTATTGTGTTGAAGCAATTTTTTTTTAAAGACTTGTAAAATTTATATTTTGATTTTGATTAAAATCAAACGTATTCATAGATTTGTGGTGGTTCTGAAAACGATTTAGGTTTATTATATTCATTGGAAATAAACCGCTCATAAGTATTTGTAGATTGTTTAATTTCCCCACCTTTCTGATGTCTAACCCTATTTTACAATTGATTTGTTTTCGCTGTGTTTGATGAATCCATTAAAAAATAACATTTTGAAGATACAGCAGTTAGATATTAACTTGTTTCCTTTATTGTAAATCTACTTTGAGTTGTATCTTTGTTGTATCCAAAGTAGGGTGAGACAAAAACATCTTTATATAGTATGCAAATCTTAATTTTACATACACTGATTTCCAAAACTACTGTTCAAAGAAATATTCAGGAAATCATCTGATTTGTTTACTTTACTAAATGGATTTTGTGTTACCATATGTCTTTGTAAATTTACAAGTTTGTTTACATTTCAGTCTTGCCACACAAAAACCATATTATTAATACAACTTTTTTTACAGGAGTGTGAAGATATTATATTAAAATACATTTATAAATATATGCAGACTGATAATGTAAAACACCAAAACTTGACTTGTTGGTTAACAGAGAATGAGGTTAGTTAGTCAGACCAAAATTCACAAAAAAAACTTCAGCTGATAACATTGGCACCAGTGGTTCAATCTAAAACAATGAAATACCATAATGCACGTAATATCATATGTCATATGGACTTTCAAATTTGATAATTTATTATATGGATAATTATTTAGAATTGTGGGAGGATGAATAAGTTTTAAATCTAGTGTCTCATCTCAAAAGACGATTCATATCTGGTGTCGCACGTCACATAAGTGCACATATAGTTTAGAAATCTATATCTATACTTATTTAATACGCAAGCATGTTTTTTGTGACAATTACTCCTCCGAAACTACTAAACTGATTGACATGTTTTTGGTGTCATTGGAAAGAGCGTAAAGGCTAGTACTCACTAGGACACCCGGTTGCTTATCAACCGGCGATCTGGTTGACGAGCGACCAAATTGCACAAATATCGCTGTGTGTGTACGTGTCTGTCAATTTGGTTGACGGCGATTTGTAGGTTGCCAGGCAACTTTTTGGTTTTCGGACATGTATCGAAAACCTGGGGGTTTCCGATCAACCATTTTATTGCCGGGCAATCAGATTTCTCAAAAAACTAGAGTGTGTACGCTTCAGCGACCAAGTTGATCAACTAAAGACGGCTAGCGCATGTACACTGTTTGTGTCACTAAACAGTGCTAGTGCTAAACGTGGTCTCTTTCAAGCTAGCTTTTTTTCCTTATGAGGCGTCACCAATTGCAAAATGTGACGGAAATTGTCGTCTGACATCCTCAAATAATTCTTGTAATCCTGAGGATTATCATCTCGCAAAGTTCGTAGAAGTGCCATGTGGCCACATTGGCTGTAACTGTGTCTGCGTTGAAGCCACTCTTTAGCCCAAAATCTTTTGAACAATGTCTTGCTTCTTCTATGGTTACTGCAATTAATTAGAATTATAACTGCGGCAGCAATCTCTTCTTCGTAGGTGGGCATGTTGTCACAACACACAGGTCAGTGCAACTAGAGCTCGAACCAGATTCCAGAACCAAACACAGTCCATCCCCGCCAAATTTTGATTTCCTGCTCGGTTGAAAGTGCTAGGTATCTTAGTGTGTACCCCCCAGCAATAAAACGTTCAATCATCAACTTAGTCGCTCGTCAACCAGGTCGCCGGTTGATAAGCGACCGGGTGTCCTAGTGAGTACTAGCCTTAACGTGAAGTTGTGCAGGAAACTTTCTTTTTAGGGAAATAATTAGAGAGTGAGGCCCTGTGGCCCTTTAAAGTTTCGTATTTCTCCATAAGATTAACATGGGAATCGAATTGTTATGAAACTCCAGCTGTTGACAGAAGTTAATAGTGAGAAGAAGAACATATGTTAATTCTAAACATATTCATTTTAGAAGGCAAAGATTGTGTCAACCAAACAAACGGTTGTTATCAACCATTGTTTAAAAGTGTTATGTTTTTGGATGTACATATTACCTTATCGTTTAATAAAGCACTTACTCATTTCATTTCATTTCATTAATTCTAAACATTCAATAAGTTTGCTAATACAGTTTGCTACAAACATTTACTGACTTGGTTGAAATGGAATATTTACTATTTGAATTTGGGTTAGTGTAAATATTACAATAGAAAAAAGCGAGAGAGCCTGGATAAATTGATATAATACTGTTATGTACATCTTAAGTATTTCCATAATCTTTTGGTCGAATCTTGGTCATCAGAAATTATGACCGTTAATGCTTTTAAAATAACGCCTCTAATACACAATTGCTCAAATTCGAGCAACAGGGACACTAGTCTATCTATCTATCTATATATTAATAGGCAAGCATGTTTCTTTAAAACCTTTTTTCTCAGCTCGTGTGCATCGCAGGGAAAATCTACGCATACTGTTAGAAAGATATTTGCCTGTAGATGTGCAGAATCCCTTTATAAATTAAAATAGGCTAAAAAATAAGCACAAAAAACGAATTTGAAAACTTCAAAAAATTAACATGGACCAACTGGGTTGCCATGATGGTGACGAAATAACAACAAAATGTAAACAGAAAATCAAAACAATTGGAGGAAATCCCAATCACATGTTTTATTTACAGTGTGGGGAGAAAATATAGTAGTCTGTACATTAATTATTTTTGGTCGAGTTTCGACCACAGGACGACCACTAGTACTTATTTAATACGCAAGCAGATTTTTTGTGACAATTACTCCTCCGAAACTACTGAACCGATTGTCATGTTTTTGGTGTCATTGGAAAGAGCGTAGCGTGAAGTTGTGCAGGAAACTTTCTTTTTAGGGAAATAATGAGAGAGTGAGGCCCTGAAGTCCTTTATAATTTCGTATTTCCCCATAAGGATAACATAGGAGATAATTTTTATTTACAGAAACATATGTTTGTTACTTGAACATAGTCAAAGTATACTACATAATAATTTCTGTGTATTATGACTGTTGATGTATACTACATTTCAATTTAAGTATTGTATACCTTAATGCTTATTCATAATGGATCTTACTACTTTATTTTAATTCTGGGAATAGTAAAAATTAGTTGAGATTAAGTAACCATGATTTAGAAAACTTTGCTATAATAATCTATGTATTTAAAATCACAAATCTTTGACATTATTTATTCATTTGAAACAAAACAGCTGATCGACAAATCAAACAAATCATCTACTTCAAGTGAATAATGTTGTTACACAAAAATAGGTTATACAACCAATAACTTGATTCTTTTATACTTGTGGGTGTATTTTGAGTTTGCAGTTATGAAAGCACCAAGCCAAGTAACTTAAGCACTTTAATTAAAGATCAGCACTGTTCTTACCCAGACCAATTGTGTTTTCTTCAAGCAACATCTTTATGACCCTCAAAATATGCCACATAGCAGGTTCTACATAGGCCTATTGGTTTGAAATGATAAAAAGTTTTGTTACGTGTATTTTTAAAAATCTTTAAAAATAGGTAACTACCCTATAACATACTTGAACACTTATTAATTTACTAAATAAAATACACATACAGCTAGAAAATGGTTGGACTGCTTCTCTTCTAAGGATTTATTATTACTGTTTTTAATTTTTGACGTTGAGCCAATATATAAGTAACACGATGAATTTGTTTTCTAAATTCATATGTAATTTTGCGGGGCATTGAGCCGCACAGGTTCACTAGTACTTATTTAATACGCAAGCAGGAATTTTGTGACAATTACTCCTCCGAAACTACTGAACCGATTGACATGTTTTTGGTGTCATTGGAAAGAGCGTAACGTGAAGTTGTGCAGGAAACTTTCTTTTTAGGGAAATAATTAGAGAGTGAGGCCCTGGGGCCCTTTAAAGTTTTGTATTTCTCCATAAGATTAACGTGGGAAACAAAAATTGTTTTGAAACTCCAGCTGTTGTCAGAAATTAAATATTAATAATTGGTCTCCATGGAAGCATGAGAAAATCCACAATGTTTACATTTGCTTTGACATTTAAATGTAAACAACCAGAACTGTCAAATGCCTATTTCACGATTTTAGACAGCTGATAAAAAAAATAAAACAACTATGTGGTAGGTTTATTTAATCCTTAAACTTTATGATAGATTATTATAAATCTATTTCAATAATTATGAAACAAATTTTTTCCGTTGCGAAGCAAAAATTAAGTCAAAAATAATAAAATTAACAGTCAATGTGTAAATTATCGAAGTTGTATTAAAAATGTGTATAGTTTTGGATGTTGGTTTGTGTTTAATGATATAAGTTAGTTATTACATTTTTATTTTAAGGATTTGGCATATGACTAAGACTATGATAAATGCTGACAGCCTTTTTACGTTGACCTTAAATTGTAAGCTTACCTTTTCCCGTCCATGGGCAGTTTGATTGTTAAAAATTCACCCTTTAAAATAGAAAAGGACTGTTATGTAAATTGTAAGTATTTCCATTGGTTGATAATCTTTTAGTTGGCTCGTTTGCTCTTTTAAAATCATTGGAAATTATGACTGTTATAAGTTTTCAACCAAGTAATTTGTTTGTAAATAACTCCTGTACTTCTTTGCAATTGCTTGATTTCGAGCAACATGTACACTAGTAACATTTAACACATGTACACCAAAAGTGTGTCAATTGGCTTTAAACAAGTCCAAACAGTGTAAGTTGAATAAAATGCACACAGTTGAGAACCACACTTGTATTTACAGATTCACACATAAACCTACCACACCAAAACAATCAATAATCAACCAATAACAACCAAATAGTAGACTAAGATATTTAGAGAAACGCTTAATAAAGACATTTTTATTTATTTATTTAATTGTTTTTGTGTTCAGTATGAATTATTTTATTGTAAAAGGTTTTATAAACTGTCTATGGCATGTATAAGACAGACAATTGGATTTGGAAACAGGAAACTAGTCCTAAACTAAAATTTAGTTAGTCAAAAGACAATTTTTATAAGATGGTCTAAACATAAAGCTAAACCTAAACGTGTGATTGAGTCATAACTCTTTGCTATCAAATACTGTCAATT